TAGTAAATTTTTGCAAAGAGCATTATAAGCCTAGGTTTTATTAGCACGCGAGCGAGGCCGAAAGCAGTCCACCCTGGATAAAAATACATTTTGGTAAACAAGGCTATGTGAAATTCGATGAAAACACAAATACTATTCACTACCTCTCCTTCTCATTTTAAACAAAACAGTGAATGGCAGATACAAATTTGTTTCATCGGCAATCCCACTACAAAATGTGATATGAGAGATTCGGTTAGCCTTGAAATTAACGTTTATACTGTGGCCTGTTGGCACTCGTGATAGTGTTGTCCAGTTATGTCGAAATTATAAATTGCCCTATCCGAATTAGAATCCCGTTGGGGGTGCTGATGAGACCCAGGCAAGACAATGAATGTTGGATGAGAATACCTCTTAGAAAGCATGACTATATGAATTTGAATATAAACGTGAGGCCTTAGCATATAATTGCGGAAAATTGCTATATTATGCGACTTCAGGGTGAATACAGATGCTAGTTAAATAATTAAAATAAGATGAACTCGAGCACTATTTAGCTATAAAAAGTTCTTGGAATGCATTAACCTAAAAAAACTAGTGAAAGGAATAAGGCACTGCATAAATCTTACTTTGAAACCAAATATTAGATCAAACCATGCATGTAGATTATTCGACACAATGTCACTTTCAAGAAGATCCCGATGATATTTGATAAACACCTCGGGATTGGAACACCATTCTGGGATGCCTAGATCGGGCATGTCTTCATGAATAGATTGAAAGACGGTGGGATCTGTGAAAAATTCAGGGATACATTCATCGGGTGTTGTGGCATACAATCTTGCCATATTTAGTGGAAACTCCTTTGGCCTGTAGACAGGACGAACATAACGAATTAATAACTCCTTTGGAGTCCTTCTGGCCTAGACAGAGAAAATACTCATGAATAGAATCAAATAAATCTAGAAAATCGAAAGCAATGAAGAACCAACCATGTATGTATAAAAGGCCAAGTCGGACATCGTATCTAGTAAATGAAATGGCGGTGTATTGAAGGATCGCTGGTCTTGGCGAACTGGGGTCGGCAAACATTTGCTTTTGGATTCATCAATAGAATAGTATCTTTCAAAGCCACAGGAAGAACGAAATAACTCCGGAATATATTGTTTAGAAAACCCGGAAGTGGAGACATCAAAGCACATGGGGTTAAAAGATTTTTCCACGGTTTCCAAGTGATCCTTCATGGATGAATAGTAAGTAGTATCCAATTGGACCTCTCCTTTAGTCAATCTAAACTTAGATTGAGATAGATCACGAAGAGAAGTCCCATCTTGGGATGTGAAATCAGTGACCCAAGGGAGAATAGCGCAATTGAAGGGATCACCTTGGCGTCGGCCAGCCATTTTGTTTAGGAACATGCAGTAATCATAATTAGATATCTTAAAAAAATAAGACAAAATAAGTTGAGAGTTTTAACCATAAAAAGTAACAAGAAAGACTCACATCTCTGATGACCCATCGCCAGGTCATCACACTTAGGGAGTTGCTGATTTGGCACGTGCCAGTAGGCGAGGGAGGGTTTATCTTGCATTCATTGTTAATATTGTAAAATAGGGATATAATTTTAGGATTTGGTAATCCAATGTCGATGATAAAATCTTCAGAAATAAAAATGTTATCCAGATGCAAAGAAGCATGTGGTAAGTTGCGACGATGAAATGACTCAAGCAAAAAATTAATCTGAAGAAAATATGCCAAATAAATTATACCTGAAGAATAATATAGAGGAGATGATGATCATGGCCTAATTTAGAAGGACTATAACGGATGCAGTCTAATAAAGATGATTTGTGGACTTTCTCCTCGGATCCAGAATAGCTGGCAGCTTTGTCAAGCTGTATCTTCTCCAACAAGGCTATATCATTCGTCCGCACAAATAAATTACGATCTCGAGATGGAGCCTAAGGAAATAAATCCACCGAAATATTTAACCTAACCGATTCAGAACAAGGAGGTACACAGTATTGCAAAGGCGAAGCATGCCTCTTCCAAATAACCCGCCAGTAGTGGCTTAATTCTTCCGAAATTAATTCTAGAAAAATACCGATTCTTGTGCTTTCGAGTTTATTTAAGGCCCTGAAGTAATATAAATCAACGTATGATAACATACAGACCCGTTGGAGGAGCCATCTTTAATTCATTTATTAAATGAATTAAATTAATTCATAAATGACATTATAATGGGGTAAGCAGAGTCATAATGGGATCATAGGATAAAACTAGCGACAAATAAAGCGAAGGAGAGGAGGAATGAGGCGCCATAACCAAACGTAGCGCCCACTGTTTAGGAGGTGTAGATTACCGAAACAATAAAATAGAATAGAATGATTTTAAAATTTTATTTATAAAAATCTTTTTACAAAAAAACCCAGAGATATACTTTTAAAATCTATTTTATTTTATTTTATAATACAATATGCAGATTTTTAAGCATAGTTGATCAAAATATAATTTAGAATGTACAAGTCCAGACAATTGGCTTCAATTAGATCTTGTAATTTGGATCGGCGAATCGAATGAAAACTTAACAGAATTTTTTAATATAGAATTATATGATACAAGAGTTTGTTTTCGTTGTAGGAAATGAACTTCAACTAAAATTGCCTTGCTTTTTGACCTGGAAATAACACATAATCGTTTTAAAATATTTGTGTCTTAATTACTTTGAATCGATATCATGCTAGCACAATTAAAAATAGGCCCGGATATCAAGCAAAATGGTATAGTCTTCAGAACTATAATATTTATTTTGGAATAAAGAAGACAAACAAGTATATATTAAAAATATTTGCATAATTTCATTAAATAATGAATTTATAACTCTACCTTAAACCACAAATTTGATATGTATTTGGAAATCAACAGTCATTACATTAA